ATTTTTTATTTTTCGCTCTACAAAATCCTTATCAGTATTCAGTAGAACTTTACTTTCCATGCAAAAGACCGAGTACTGTTTAATATTTATTGCCATATGACTCGATAGTAGTGTGATTTCTATTCTGAACCGTGGAATGGAATTGGCACTGGATGTTTGATATTGCCTTTGGGTGTTAAGAGAAGGTAAGAGGTAGACTTAAAGTAAGTATAGACATTTTCTATTTGTCGATGACTAAGTACGTTTCTAAACTTCAGCCTACACGAGTTCGTATAATACAAAATAATACGCCTGCCGTTCTAATGTACCTAACCTGTACAAGTGTACAGGCAGAGTAATGGTGGCCTTAATTACGACACTTGTTTTACAGGATGTTGATTTTAATGGCTGCATTAATTTCGGAGATGAGTAATCTCATTAAATCGAGCAAATTTATGGGATCGAGATTATAATCGTAATGTCATGGCACCGGCTCCGGTCATTACTGCGAGGTTAGTTACGGCGACGACAAATTGAAATGCAACAACAACATTATAAAGAGTGANCTTCGAAATTCAAATCTCGGTATGCGCTCGACATGCAAAAGTCGGGGGTGTCGCGAATGTGCCACGGTAATAAACGGATGATGTGTTGTTTTGGAAACAGTAAGCGCTCTTTTTTATAAAAATAATTACAACTAACTATTTATACAGGGTGTTAGGTAAATAGGTTTATAAGCTAACACTAGCCCATGTTAACATATTATGCATATAAATGGTATGGTGAAGTCAGTGATATCATTTTAATTTGTTTAATTTTCATAGAAAATAAAATTTATAAAATCAGATTTGTATGCAAATTAAAATTATTAAAATGATGATTTCAATTTTCTGACTTCACTAAGTATACCATTTATATGCACATGTTAACATGGGCTAGTGTCGGCTTATAAACCCATTTACCTAACACCCTGTATAATAATCAAGAATTTAGGCGCATACATTTTACGGTCGCAAATTTATAAGATTTATTACTAAATCTTAACTCAAATATAATTTTTAATTAAATCTACTTACTAATCACAAAACAACATGCATTTTATCCTATTTCATTCAGTAAGTTATTTTGATTGTCAAAATAAAATAAAAAATTACAATCACAAAATACATTCACAAAACTAGATAAACATTCTAAGTAGGAAGATGTAATGAAAATAGGGTCTGCAGGTGGGCAGCCCTATCGCATGTTGTCATAATGGTGACGTACCGCGCGGCTGTTGACATTTATTTAAAAAAATGGCCGAGTTGGAATACTGTATAGATAGTATTACCGTGGTAAAAGCTCTACTTAATAATTTGTATGATAGTTTAATTTTATCATATTTGATGATTGGTTCATATGGATCCTGATCTCCAAAAGACCTCCGACATATTGTGTTATATGCAGATACAGATACTTCTATACTTATGTCGTTTCATTTACTACCCGCCCGTTAACGTAATATCTCCTACTAATGGACAGAAATGTTATTGGAAGCCTGACGCGCCGTTAAGACACCGTCAAACAGCGTGTGAGGGGTTTTGATTACGTTTACTTTTTAAGTCGACTTTCCCAGTTCCCATTTTCAAGAGCAGGGAAAAATGGAAGTCACATGCTAAGTAGAAACGCCTATCACTTACGTACGCCTTTTAATGTGAACTTACGTACGATTAACTCTTGCTAAAAATCAATTAAAAAGTTGGATTGTTAATAAATGAGCTTGGGTTATGATGACAAAAGCAGATGTCGCGATTTAAAATAAACATAAGAAACAAAGACAACGCTTATTCCTTTTCGATTTTCTTATTTTTCGCTCTACAAACTCCTTATCAGTATTCAGCAGAACTTTACTTTCCATGCAAAAGACCGAGTACTGTTTAATATTTATTGCCATATGACTCGATAGTAGTGTGATTTCTATTCTGAACCGTGGAATGGAATTGGCACTGGATGTTTGATATTGCCTTTGGGTGTTAAGAGAAGGTAAGAGGTAGACTTAAGTACGTATAGAAATTTTCTATTTGTCGAAGACTACGTTCCTAAACTTCAGGCTATACGAGTTCGTATAACACAAAATAATACACCTGCCGTTCTAATGTAACCTGTACAAGTGTACAGGCAGAGTGATGGTGGCCTTAATTACAACGCTTGTTTTACAGGATGTTGATTTTAATGGCTGCATTAATTTCGGAGATGAGTAATGACATAAAATCGAGCAAATTTATGGGATCGAGATTATAATCGTAATGTTATGGCACCGGCTCCAGTCATTACTGCGAGGTTAGTTACGGCGACGAAAAATTGAAATGCAACAACAACATTATAAAGAGTAAGATTATGAAATCCCAAGAGACTGTGTTAATCAAGAATAAGAATAACAAAGAGATTAACGCCCGTATTCACACACATTACTATGAGGTCTCTCAGTGCGCGTGGACGCACAGTGTCACATACGAACCAATCACAGAGCTCTATTTAACCAAGATGTAAGTAAAGTTTTAAAAATCCTTAGGGTATATTATAGGACTTTGCATGCATTACATAATACCTAATACCTACATGCTATTTTCAGGCTACTACTTGTCACAAAGCAACAAACTAGAGTTCAATGTTAAATAATTAAGTGCTCAATGCATAACTTTTCACTGAAAGGATTTTTGCGATTCAAATGACGCTCCCCTCATGAAAGTAGTTCATATTAATGAGCACACTCACCTGCATCAAAAACGCTCAGATTGGCATCAGCATCCTGCGTGGACTTTTACTGCACGTGCTACTGTTTTGCTGATGTATCAGATACGAGCAGGGCATAATATTACTAACCCATAAACAAAATATGCATGAGCACGAGTGGTAACATGACCTTAATTATTCGGAGATGAAACAAATATAATTTGGCGATAACATTTTTTATCGATGATGCAAGTCATGATAATCTCTTGTCGTGCATTTCTTGGTAGATAGATCTTGTTTTGAGTTAGAAGGTAGTAAAGTAACAACACTCCAAAATAGTGTACTTTATATTAGTAGGTGGTACTTACTGCTGAATGTGTTTTCAGCAGAATCGAACCAGCAACCAAAGTAAATCACTGTAACATACATGCTTATTTCTACAGATTAGTATTTTGTTATGTAGCAAAATTAACCAATGAATTAATATTTGCAACTTATTTTATTATTTTAGCACTAAATAATAAGCCATCGAAAACTATTGAAAAGGTGTTTTACATTTATTCAACTTGTTATAATTTTAATCTTGTACCTTGTCTTATTTTCTTATTTACTCGCATGTCACAAATAGGTAGACTCCTAAAGGGATGATATTGCCATTCTCGTTTACTTGATCACATACTTTTACGTTTCAAAGAGCTGGAGTGAAGTCTCGTGGAAAATGCCACATAATAGCGCTATTACTAACCCAGTAAAGTCTAAGGCTGAGTTGCACCACCTAACTTTAACGGTAACTATGACGATAACCGGTGCATTTTGTATGGAGTTTGATAGATTTTTGACGTTTGTCAAAGTCAAAGTAAGATCGTGCAACCCACCCTAAGTACTAAAGTAAAACTGGCTCCATCACATGTGTTTGCTTTCAAAAAGTGAGTAGGTACCTAAAGCGTTAAAATCTAGGCTTGAAAGCAAATAAAGTTAATTATATCATACAAACACCAGAGGTGGAATTGTGTAAAGCTATCGTTATCATTTGACAGTTCATAACGTACGATTATTCTGTCAAACACTTTGTTTAACTGACTTTATCGTACGTTATGAACTGTCAAATGATAACGATTGCTTTACACAATTCCACCTCAGATTAGCGTTGTAATAATACGTGGTTTTATGTTCGTAACGCACTACTATCCTGAAATTGTCTCAAATCATGATTTTNCGTTGTGGTAAAAAAAAAAAAAAGTCAAAGTAAGATCGTGCAACCCACCCTAAGTACTAAAGTAAAACTGGCTCCATCACATGTGTTGGAGCTTTAAAAAGTGAGTACTTACAGCGTTAAAATCTAGGCTTGAAAGCAAAGAAAGTAAATTATATCATACAAACACCAGATTACAGTTGTGGTTATGGGTTTGTAACGCACTACTATCCTGAAATTGTCTCAAATCATGATTTTTCAATCAGTAAATCCCATCCCAACCCCGTACTTATATTAACTTTATGGTAATTCTCGAAGTTTATGTTTTTGATATTGGTAGCTACTGAACATTAAAAATGCAGCAAAAATAAAAATTTGACGACAGTTCTCAAGAAGTCTATGAATGTTACAGACAAAATGAGATACGACGCGTCCGAAAGAGAATATTAAACTTTTGCCTTAAAAGTTTTCTGAGGAGTTCACGAGTTGAGTTTATTTTTTTATATTTTAAGTTCATATTGAGAAAATTACGGTAAGTAAGAGCTTTTTTGCTTTACTTTTTAATGTAAACAAAGACAGACTTTTCAATAAAACAATAAAAAGACACTATTTTGTTTCTTATTTTGTGTTAAAACGATAAACACTTCCGTGTTACTGCCTCGTTTTCATAATCCTCTTACCCAACAAGGCGTAAACTATCAACTTCGTATATTTAAATTAATCTGTTACCTAAACTAACAGATCTACTAAAGTTTGACCGTCCTATTAGTTACGCAAATATTTACAGAGATTACGGATGGGTTTGGACCAAATAGGAAATAGAGTACCCAGTTCCACACTTCGTGATTTAGAAGAGAAGTTTTGAATACGCAAAGTATGAGTGGCGATGTAACGTATTCGTAATCGCTATCATTTTCATTCGAAAGTTGAGTTGGAAAGTTCAACTCAGTTGCGGTGGCGATAAGGAAGCGTTTCGCCCGCATGTGTCGTAGTGAAAGCTCGCTAGCGTGGAGTTAGCTGGCGATCGGTCGCTCGACCTAGTTGGTGTTCGCTCGATGCCGCCCGAAGTCGCCGGCCGCGCCGCCCGCCCAGAAATAGACGCAGCACGTGCGTCGCACAGGGCACACGCGTCCACGCCACGGACGCCGCGGCCGCCCCGCACCCCGCGCCGCAACAAAACTCAAAGAAACCGCGTTGTGAACACAAGTGTTGTTAATTTAACTAAAAACTCCCAAACTATTTATAGCTTCTAATAGTGCATTCGCTTCGTAGTGGCCTTCCTATAAAGCTCCGTGTTTACCCAAAATATGTATTAGTAGTGATTTAACGTGGTAGCCTTAAAAGTAACAAAATAAAGTAACGATGTGCCTTAACGCGTAATAATTTCGCGGCACCCGGACGGGTGCGCGTGAGTCATCGAAATGCAATGCATCAGATTGATTCTTCTTCTGGTGTTTTGTGTGATTCCGGAGCCAGTACCGGCCTGGAAAGGTGACATGTAAGTATATAGACTATGTTTTCTATAATAGGTGCATGATTTCAGCTCATTGGCTTTCCGATTAGCAACAAATTCATAACAAACATTCGCCTTTAAAGATTATTCAAGAATGTATTTAAAACTGCTGAAATTTGGCACTTTCGTGGTTGTTTGTGTCTGATTCACCAAAAGCATTGTATGTAATTTAAACACCTCACCAGAGCTATTGGTAGCACATTTTGTTTTTCTAAATATAAACTCTGAATAGTAATTAGGAATTCGGCTCGTTGGATTCCGCAGAAGTTCAGCATAAGTACTTTTAATAATTGATTGCTGAAGGATTAAACATATGTATGATGTAAAACTAATTTCATTAAAACTATAGATCACAATTTTTTGGATATAATGTTTTTGGGCCTAAAACAATTTGCACGAACATAAAAGTTTTAAACTATTGTTTTAGAGCTTCGGAGTTAAGATTATGGTTTCTTAATGACAACTTAATATGTAGATAATCATAGATATATTGAAACAGTATATAATGGGTGATAAAATATATAGGCTGTAGCATCCCATCAAAGAAAAATCCTGCATATTTTTGGTGAAAAAATTATGCATAATGTCCTTGAGTATGGCTTTTATCTTTTATCAACGTAGTGGGTAGGTATTAAAGCGAAAGCACCACGCTATCGCAAGTTCGCAAGCCCACAAATTAGAATTTATGAAGGTCAACATCATTTATCTTTTAGGACCCAACTTTTTCCGGAGTTCTACCTACTTGACTTTACTCACTAATATTATTCTAAAAAACCCGGGAAAACATCTATCTAAAATAACGTTATTGTCAAAGAAAATTGAGGAAATAAAGATTTTGTACGAGTTATGTAGGTATAGATTTGTTATGATTTATTTACGTCGTTTGTTAGCTTACGGACAGCGAATGTCAACCCTTTATAATGTATTTTACCTGCCCGCCTTTGATTCAATCGTGGCTCGATTCGATCCACTTTGACTTTCATTCAATTTCGTTCGACTCTACCTTTGATTTCAAACTCAGTGCTATTACCACTGCATTAATAAATATTTTGATTCGATTTACTTGCTTTAGTCGGTTATGGGTAACGTAGAGTAGGAACATAGGTGGCATTTGGTAGGTAGGTATGAAGAATATTGTCAATTTAATAGATAAGTCTCGTCGAAACTCTCCGATACAAGGATGATGCATGAGCCACCCATCAGTCAATCTATTTTCATGGAGGTGACAGCTTTCGGATATCCTTTTACGTTCTTCCCGAGCTGAAACAGGTAAGTAATTGATAGACATATCTAATAGAACGGAAGTGAAATAGAGAGTGTTGAAGTTCAAAGATACATTTGAGAAGGTCTGCCAACCCGTATCGCTTGTCAACAAACAAAGAAAGGGAAAATTCACGAAAATAATACATGTTATACCTGCTCGTAGTTTCAAGTCAAGAAAATATTTTCCAAATTGGTTCTCCTTTGTAGGATAAACTTTAAGTGGCACTAAGCAGTTACGTTTTGGCAATGCGATATAAATTTAAAGTTAGCTTTTCTACATAATTCCGTTTCTACATTAACACAGGCGTTACTGACGTAACGCTTTTCCCTCGTTCTCAATATTTGATTATAAACTTTCTGCGTAGGCATTTTACGCGTAATTGGTGATTATGATTCCCATTACTGATTAGATTATCTATTAATCAAGATAACTAAGCGTTTATTAATTTCAGGTAGGTGGTACTGTTTGGCCTCATCAATTAAGTTTCGGCCTGATTAAGTACATTCTGTTCAATTAGTACTGAAACTATTGCTTAATTGTACCGATCCAAAATTTCGCTTACTTAATCAAATAAAGGCTATTTACGGTATCTACACACAATATAAAATACTTTTTCCTTCAAAGGGCTTGTTATTCTGTAATAACAGCCAAGTTAACAAAACAAGGAAATTAATTTCGTTGTTCCATTCCATTATAAGAGATATCATTTTACTTTGTAACGTTGTCATTATTTACGGTATACCCACGAACATTTTTACGTGAAACAGGCAACGGTCGTGACCAAATAACAAAGTGAATTCGACAGACGGCGTTTTTCATGGCCGTAGTGAACCGGCAAATATTTGCGGCCGATATTAACNCAAATCCGCATTAGACTCAATTTTGAAACAATTAAACTTAATGAAAACTCTTTGGTTTTATTTGTATTCGATTTTGAACTTGGAAAATTTTCGCTGGACACCCTTTACAACGTAACCTCACTTCAAAACTTCAAACGAGTGTGACAATACCGCATCCGTTCAAGTCTGATTGGAACCATGAGTGCATTAGATTCACTCCCGAAGATATCGGAACGATAAACGTCCCCATCTTATTCACGTATTTCTGATATTCGGTTTGGCCGAAGCTTCGGCTGGTTTTTGGCCGAAAACGAAAATATGGCCGAATGTCCATTTTTTGGCCGAAAATGGCCGAAAACGAAAACGAAAACGAATATTCGGTCGGTCACTAATATTAACGTAGGAATCTGCGGTTCTCCTTTGGGAGTCGTAATCAATATTCGGAAATGGGAACTTATACGGATATTTATAGAACAAATTGCTTATATCAATATGTAACAGTAGTTTGTTCTAATTTACTGAATGTGGTTGGATAGTTGTAGAACAGTTTGGGAGAGGTTTTGATGACTAAGTGCAGTTATTTCTGCTTCATACATCGCGAGTTTTATACCTATACAATTAGGAAGGAAAGTACACCTACTACACTTGTGTCGAAATTCAATTTATGGACCTTCGAACATTACATTTATAAATACATATGCCTAGATAAAATAATAAAAACAGGTGATTCATTTCATGTGCGGCCGCTGTAGTCTGCTCTATCAAGAACATCTGCAACGCAGCGCTCTTCAGCGAGGCGGCGCACATACTCCTGTGTGCTTACCATGAGTTTACGTTACGTGTGCTCGCTAGCGACTGCGTAAAAAAATGACATTAATTGTATGACATATTGTGCAGCGCCCCTAGCGGCTACTTTCAAGAAACAAAATCTCCATAGAGATTTTTGACGTTTTCGCTAGCGAGCACACCTAACGTAAACTCATGGTAGACACACTGCAATGCGTAACTGTCAGTATCGTGAAAATACACTGTTGCTGCTAAATCTACAGAAAAATATAAAATTAAACTACTATATGCATTATTTACGACAAAGCAGTTTCTTTGAAGTATAAGAGTATAAAGAAAGCATGATAAAATTGGATATAATCTAATTTTCAGGACGACGGTTTCGTATGTAATCGATTTTACTAATTCGTTTGATCTCATTAACATCAAAGTAATCATGCAAATGGCAGATTACCAATAAATGAACATTATGCGGTCGTTAGGGTGTTAATATCAATAAATAAATGTTCAATTTCATTAAATTGTATCTGTACTCAACTGTCAAAGTAAAAGCTGATCATAAACCATTCGGAACCTGCAATTTCCTCCAGGGCATCGTAATCGATTCCTGTAATTGGGGAGTATCGACGCCCACGGGACATTTGAACAACGTGTTAAAATCAGTAAAACGATCTTACGCCCATTATAAGTCACAAATCGACATCGCTTTGTTTCATCAAGTTTAGGAGGTTTTAGATGTTTGGAATTCGAAGAAAACATTTTCCACAAAGTTTTGTTCTTTAACTCCAAGGACTTATTGTTTACGTTTAAACTTCTACCTATTTAAGTTATTAAAGTGTTATTACAAATATTTTCTTTGTTGAGAGCTTAATTGGAAATTACGATTAAACTCGTGTTCCAAGACAAGACTAAGTAAAAGGATTAAATTGATATTTAAATCCTCTTTCTAATTACTAATTACTTAAGTCTTCTGGCTTGACAATAATCGTCTACGGTAACGATTTATTAAGGTTGATCCATCAGAAAACTCAAGTAAAACTAAAAAGCGGACAACCAACAGAGTAATTTATTAACGTAAGCATGTTCAACTCGTTCCAACTTCGAAATAAATGTTAGCAGCTAAACTACTCGCCACCGCTCTACGAGTCACACGAGAATGGTTTAAAAATGCACACCAAAAGCTTAAGGCTGGGTTGCACTATCTTATATTAACTGTGACTAATGTCAAAAATCTGTCAAACTCCATACAAAAAGCGCCGGTTATCGTTATAGTTAGGTGGTGCAACTCAGCCTTAACCAAGTTAAACCAACACAAGGTTGTTTCACAATCACAACTCTGAAACAAGTTGTGTGTTGTTTGAATTGAGTATATTTTCTACCATGTAATATGAAACGTTAAAATGCCTGACTAAAATTTTGATACCATTCACATTATCCACACATTTACTTTGATAAGATCACAGCCCCGAGCTATACCTGGAATATTATTAGGGGTACAAAACAAACTTGCTTTATACTGTGTAGTTTTGCCTGCGACTTTTTCGTTACGAAAGTACTAGGTAACTAAACCTTTTATAAATAGCATATTTGCCGAAGTATAACCTTATAAACTTTCATAATTTCGTCCAGTGGGTAGTTTTTGTGTAATGTAGCAACAAACATATTTCTTCTAAACTTTCACGTTCATAATAGTTTAATAGTAACATCAAAGGCTTAGTTTTATTAGTTTTAGAAAATGCACGAGTGAACTTGCAAAGGATGGCCCTTGTGTGTCGAGCATCATTCATAATGAGCTCACAATTTCTATACACGTTTGATGCTACAAAACACGTCACGGTGGGGAGCTCCTTTGTAGGCTTGATTGCTGACTGGCGTTTACGTAGACTTATACAGTGATTACGTAGAGTCGTAGACGTATACATGCTTCGTAGGGGTATTAATCTAGCCCTTTTTAAATCTGGCGAGTCTTGGAAAGTCGCTCTAGCGTGTAAACATCTTTCATGACATCGCGTGCCCTATGAGCATGTTACGCTGTCTAGAGCTGTCGTTTTGAAAGTTTGATTACTTTGGGTTTAGTACTTTAGTATTTATACTAGCTTTAAGCTAGACATACCATGCTATTCGCATATAAATTGAGATAAGTTGCATTCAGTGACGGCAAGTCCCATGACGTTAGCGTGTTTCTTGTCTGTAAAGTTAAATGCAGCTAGATCAAACATAACAGAGTCACGATTAATACAGTTTAACCGTTGCTAAAAATATTCTTCTCCCAGTGTAATATGCATTATGAAATGTAAGTCGCTTTTAAAACCACAATTGTCAAAAGATTATAAAGTATTAGAAGACCTACATTTTTCCAAACTTGTAAGGACTCTTACCTATTTATGTGAAATACATAGGTAGGTAACCAACATTCTGATGTTATTGAAAAGAATATTACCAAGCCATGCCGTTCCTAATGGCGCCAGTGTTCTGTAATATGTATGAAAGGATCGCACGAGGCTCCCTGGGGTGTGAACATCATATATGTTTCACGGCATTGTTCCGAGTACCTCGTCCCAGCTAAGAAATGATGGGACTGCCACAATAGCTATTGTCGACGATATCGTAGATAAAATTATTTATCATGACTATCGGCTCTACCCACGCTTTTTTGGAAGAAACATGCTACAAAAAGCTTTCAATTATATTGGAGTTATACTTAGAATGAAAGCAGGTGCCTAGGCCTACATGTAGGAGTTGTATGAATGTAGGAGTACCTACATCGTTCAAAGGTCGTCGCTAATATCAAACTTGGGGGCCATCCATAAAGTACGTCACACGAATTTCATGATTTTTTGAGCCCCCCTCCGTCCTTGTCACAGGTGGTCACATTTCTGAGATCCCCATCCTCCCTGTGTGACGTCACATGTTTTGCAATTTCACATCGAAAAATTATTAAATCAACAGCAGTTCCGAAATTAGTTTTATTTCCATTTTAACTAAGTACTTTTTTATGAAATCAACATTATATCGAATATTTGAAACAATTGAAATGTGATGTCACGAAACTTAGGACCCCTCCCACCCCTTGTCACACCATGTCACACTTTGTCGACCCCCTCCCCCCCTCTTTACGTGTGACGTACTTTATGGATGACCCCTTGAGTCTATAAAATAAAATTTTAGTGAATAGTAGAGTTAGTAAGTTTCCTACCTTACTTGGCATATTTGAACTTGTAAGTCAAAGGTTAAGGGTAAAATACATTTTTATGGCGATTATCACACTGCGCCGCGCTCCGACGCGGTACGCGGGACGACAGATTTAATCATTGTATGCAAATACCTCAGTTTGTATAGAAAACACGCGCGGCACAACACACTGACAACACGTCTGCGCGCGGGATTTTTTATATGAAATCACGCGGACCGCGGCGGAGCGCGGGGCAGTGTGATAATCGCCTATGTGCTAGGTAAAATAAGTCTTTCCTAGGAAAAGTAACTATACCAACTCTCTTTTTGTTTTAGACCTCGACCAAACAATCTGAAGAGAGACTTCGTAATCTTTATAAGGTCTGAGGTTTGCCCAAGAAAAAAATATTATGATGAAAAAGCCGAATATAATACCTAAATCGTTTTACGGAGTTTGGCCCCAGCTTACGTGACACGGCAAACATGATGAAAATATGAGACGTTTTAATCTTAAATCGGTATTAATACGCAGGGTGGGCTTGATAAAATAATCTTTTTGGCTTTAACAAAATCCCTAAAGCAAATAATAACAATAATATAATGAATCATTTATTTGCCAGAATACGGTTACAAACGGTTATAAAAACACCTATTCTACATACGATGTGCAAATATTACAAATTACACGGAGTGATCAAAAAATAAATAAAACGAAAAAGCAATCATAGGGTAGTGTTCCTATAATTCTATTTGTTCTGACGAGGAAGGAAGACATTTCTATTTGCATTTCTTCTTCGTCTCACTCCTAATATTATTATTGCTGTTCGTAAGAATATTTTGTCATTTCCGATATTTCATGTTCCTTTAGTTGCGAGCATTAGTGCCATTGCAATATAAAGTAGGTAGTTATAAATTCTAAACCACAAACATCGTTACACAATAAAACACAGTTTGTTGGGTAGTAGGCTTAATTTCACTCTATCGTACCGTCCTACGCTTTTGTGATCACCTCAAATAAATATTATTCAGCAAGCGTTACATTCCTCTAAAAGCCTGTCAGGTGTTGTCCCAAAATTACCTACACCAACAGAAATATAAGGGCAGATTTTTCACGTCGTCGCTAATATAGGGACCGTCCTGTGAAACGTACGAGTCAGGTCGCGCGTTCCCGGGCGAGAACTTCGTCCATATTTTATAGATTGCCACAGGTAGATACGCGCCGTAATATGAATGACGCCAAATTGGCGCTATAAACGCAAACGACTCAAATTGAATTGGCGACGAAAATAAATGTGGGTATATTAGATTTTGTAATTTGGTGGAAATCTAAATAAAAATACACACTTTTTTGGGGTAAGCATGGGTAAGTACCTACAGTTAGGTAGGTATACCTAAGTTCGTTCGTTTCAACCGAAAGACGTCCACTGCTGGACAAAGGCCTCACCCAAGGATTTCCACAAAGACTGGTCCTGCGCCGCTCCTGGATGCGAGCGCACCTAAGTAAATTCTATTAAAAACCTGAAGTCTTAAATAACTAAGTACTTTTATTGTGTAAGTAGTACAGCGCTGAAGAAAGAGTTTTGATTCATAATTCTAGGAAAAACAATACCTTAAGTTATTAAAGTTTCCTTGCCACATCTGTCGACATCTTGGCCCCGCAAACAGAAGTCGCAATTTTCTTGATAAGATTATTTGCATTAAAATATAATATTTTTTATTTTTAAGTAGAAAAGATATGAAGTGTGTGTTGGTTGACCACTTTCAACCATAATGCTTTTTACAGAATCGTTTACCATAAGGTAACTTACATGTCCGTTTCTTCTCTTATACAAAATAAAAACTCAATCACATTAGATAGCTTTATTCTATTTAATTTTTTAATCCGATTCAGAGTTTCTGAATTATTTCAAGGCTTTACCTATTATTTCTGAAAGCAGATTCACCAAATGTACCTACTCGTATAAATCACATTTATAGATTTTGTCTCAAAAAATCAATTTATCTATGTTGATCGACATCTAAGTTGATTTCATATTTATTTATAGTCGGTCCACTGAAAACTGAATTCGCATCAGCGATGTAAAATCAGATTGTAATACTCGTATACTTACATATATTATCATGAGTCTAAGATTTCAAAGTGAAGGGTATTAGCAGTAGACCTCTGAACAATAAAATTTGCTGTGAAAAGACAAATTAGAGAGTCGCTCTTGGCGAGTTCGTTGCTTTGTTAAGCAGAACTTGGCAAGCGTCCTATTTTTCCCGACGACAAAGAAAGCCGTTAACCAAACTGTGCCCCTATCGATGGATCTTATCTCTTTCATAAGAACGAAGGAGGATGTTTTTGCATATTATACCATCTTAATGAAAAAAGGGTCTTTATTTGAGCGACAATACCTTCTGTATTTTGAAGCTTACTATTTAAATTAAAAGGATTCCTGTTGATATTTTGAATTAATCTTATGATTACTTATTAATTAATTTACCAGCAAGTGTAGAGACTACCCGCTAAAACTTTTCACACGAACAGTATCGATCCAGGCGACCGTGCAAACTAACCACTACATAATTTTTCGTGCTTCGGAATAAAAGTGTCCAAGTCCATTATCATAAATTAGCGAGGAGCGTCGAAGTTTACCGACTGAGCTTTTGAGCACTGGCTTAAACTGTCCAGTGGAAACGAAAATATTATTTAAGCGTGATGTTAACTTAGCTGTAGCCCGTAGTTCACAGAGTTTAGGGCTTAAGTAAATATGAAGGTTTTTTACGTGACTTTTAATGTAAGCATAACATACTCACTCGTAGTCTTTGATCTGGGGTTAACACTACGGCTCAAGTCTAAAGTTTTCATACCATTCTTCAAAATTGTTTTCGAAACAATTACTGGGAGTGTTCTGTCTACGATATTTTCATTACTATTTTAAATACATTTTGAAAAAGCAATAAATTTTAATTATGTATTTTTCTTTCCAGAGTCAAAGCATGGGCGAGGACCCTGGGTAGAGAACTATGGCAACTCAGCGAAGCTCTAACAAAATCAGACAAAATTAGGAGTGTAAGTATAAACTCCTCTCTCTGCATCTTTTACAAAATACAATAGAAATATTAAGTAAATAAGAAAATTAGAACTGAAAGTTGCGGCGAAGCGACATCAACAAGTTAGATGGAGAAATTCCGCACTCATTTGCATTTGTTGAAATATTATTCGTTGCCAACCTTTGAACCTCTTTGCTTGTTACTTTGAACGTAATAAAAAAGAAAATTACTGGCTGGTTTTTTCCGTTTCTTTTTTATCACTGAAATCATATTTGACGTTCATTTGTTTTTGTGTGGCTGTTGGTCATTATTTACGCTATAGTTGGCAATTGTTTTAATAATGTTGTTAATTAAATATCAAATTAATACTAATGTTAATTTAAGATCGGTTAAGCAATGTTAATTTACTCGTTAAAAGCTTGGGTTCAATTAACTTACCCAAATTATGTTTAGACGATAGCTCTGTTTTAAGGTAAATTGATTTTCCTTGCCGCAATTTCTTCTCTTCTTAAGAAACACTCTTGAAACAACTTTACTCGTTAAAACAAGTAATGCTTTCAACAAACTTCCTAAAATAATGGAGGTGTTTATTTTTCAGAAATACACGTTAATGAACGCGAGCGTGAAGAAGAAAAATGGAAAACTCATATTAGAGTCCTCTCTGCGCTCGGTCAGCACAATGTTGACAAGAAAAATTAAAGCTGTTAAGGTAATTTTTTTTTCTAACTTACCGACTGCCCGGGGACGACAAAATTGCGGCGTTAAAGTAAATAGCAAAATGTTAAAAACTACGTCTACGACTACTTCGTAGTCTTTTATTCGTAGTACATCTGTAGTCGAGTTGCTACGAGTTTCTTAGTAATGGAAGCAATTGAAAAGATTTTTTTTGTGAATTGTTAAGTTACTTTACTTGGGATTTTAGACAGTGTTTGTTTAGGTACAGATTTGTATTCGATAAATTGAAGATGTTGGAAAGTGATCGAACTGAAAACTCGTCACATTATCTAAAATAACTGATCTAGGTAGACGAAAAAATATCATTGTATAATAGTTTTAAATGAGTTTCGTTATTAACTAACTTATCATTACTTTTATGGTTCTTTTGGAATAACTTAAGATATGCCACTGTCCATGAAACTAATATTTACTAAAGTCCTTGGTTCTAAATTATATTATGATTAGGCTAATTTCCCCTGGGAGAGCGTTGACGGAAGGGAAGTCGGGTCTTTAGCACAACTTCGGAAGCGAGTGAAAGTTATTACGGTTGGGATTTCATACATCTTGCTAGGAATATTATTATACAGTTTTTGATTAAAGTTTCAAAGGTTGCGACTAGTTTTTGTTTTGTTTTAGTTATTATATTTTGTACCTACTGAGTCTTTTTTGCATGTTGGAACTTCTATAAGGTGTGCATAGTAGTAGATGTTGTAGGGCTTCTTCAATGAGACTCGGTTTTGGTAAATACAATGCTAGTTTACTTTAGTAGATACTTGGTACAGAATAGACGTTAATTAAAGATACAAAATTAGATTAGGCTACCGGTTACAAGTGGGCGGGAGATAGACTACAATGTGGTAAGGTATACTTATAGACTTGGATCAACCTGATTTCCCGATAAGAAAGACAATTTCGTGCTTCGGTGGCTATGTTAGGCCATCGTCTGATAATCTGATTAAATCATGTCATACTTTTATGGTAGGTGATAAGTGATAATATCTGACTGATAAAGTCTATATAGCATTAATTAATTAAGTACAGACGACGGCACGTCAACGTTACCACTGTGGGTTTTTGTGCAATTGTAATAGGGGCGAGTTTGAAACAAAAATGGGTAGTAGCCTGATGTGCTGTCGTGTGTACATAATACTAATTCGATTTGAGATTCAACATTCGAATTCATTTTCGATTCTATAACCAACTTGGACCAAACAAGGCGATTACATCGAAACGAATCTATGACGATTGCTATATTCTCTAGCTAGAGTCTAGAGGCACAGGGTTGTCACAATCCATTTACCAGACATCTATTTTATTATAATCACGTCAATAACTGAATCATTTTTTCCAGTGCATTCATGCAACAGCGCAGAAGCTGGCCAAGGAGTTCAACTACACAATAACAGAAGACAAGGACTACAATGACTTCGATTACTGCTCTGCCAAGTACTCCCGCTTCCAGTACGAAGACCTCGCTGACGTCGCTGATGAAGATGATGATACCAACATCCCTAAGTTCGCCAAGAACAACTCCAACTACATGGAGGTCCAGCTGGAGAAAGACTCGCACTTTTATGACATAAGTGTTAATACTAATATAAGCTGTGTACATGTACCCACAAATATTTACTATAAAGGTATTTTAGTGTTTCTACTTAAAGTTTAGCAACGACTTTTTGAGAAATAGAGTTATAATTTGAGCTTATTTGTTTCAGAGAGAGACGCTTTAAATGCAATTTTATGGTCAAAAGGCCTCAACGAAATATTTATAAATAATTACAAATCAGACCCGTCCTTAGCTTGGCAGTACTTCGGTAGCTCGCACGGCATACTACGCTTTTATCCCGGCATGCCCTGGAACAACAGGAAGGTTGTGGACACGTACGATTGCAGAGTGCAGTCGTGGTACATTGAAGCAGCTACATGCTCCAAAGACGTTATAATTCTTTTCGATGTATCAGGGTCCATGACCGGATTCAAAAACTACGTGGCGAGAAGAACGCTCCGTTCACTTCTAGACACGTTATCCAATAACGACTACGTAAACGTTTACACTTTCAAAAACAACACAAAAGAAGTAGTCACTTGTTTCGTCGGCCTAGTGCAAGCCACTCCAGAAAACTTAAAGACAATCACGGACACTTTAGAGCCAAAAGACAACGGCAAGGTCCATAAAGTGCCTTTGGAAGGCAACGCCAACCTGACTGCGGCTTACATAAAAGCATTTACCACTCTCAAGGCGGTAAGTTTTCTATAAAAATATTTTTCTTTATTCTCAGTATTAAAAGGCCACAGCAGGAAAATTACTCGAAACGTTACGGTACTAAAGACCGTTTAACTAAGCGATAAAGTTTTCTTGGAAAAACCTTTTGGTCTCTAGGCTTTATGTATCGCGTTTATTCGTTATAAGACCTTCATTTTCGATGTAAAAAACGTAAACGTACCTAACGGAAAAACGTTAAGTAAATACATAGCCTGTTCCTCNCAGTACCTCTAGTAGGAAAAACTTTCGAGTTCGTTTCGTTGCGTATTCAAAGTGTCATCGAAAAATTTTGTATGAAAAATTAAACAGCGCCCCCTAGGGCGGCTATAATATAGGGGGCGCTGTTTAATTTTTCATACAAAATTTTTCGATGACACTTTGAATACGCAACGAAACGAACTCGAAAGTTTTTCCTACCTAGAGGTACTGTTGTTACAAAATATTTTCTTTCGAATTGCCAACGAGGCCTGTCATACGCAGCCAGCCACAATGTTGGCACCACAGCCTAGTCAGCCGCACTCGTTTCTGGATATGACAATCTAATAATTACTTATTTACGAAGTGAATGTTATCAATTTAATTCAGCGGGTCACAAAATATTCCAGTAAAGTTATGTGTATTACAAGTTTCATGGCTGTTAGGTCCCGTGAGATGTAATAAAACAAACTTCGTTAGGAGCTTTTGACCTGATTCCGTTGAGGGTAAAAGCATGCTCGATCTGCTTTAGTGCTTAATTTTAACTTTAGTATACAAATCTGCTGTTATTTTGTGTCGTATTGATAAAGATATTTAAATACACTGGATTTGAGCATGTATCGAATAAAGCAAATGGCGCCTTAACACCTTTTTACATAGGAAAACTTAACGTTTATGTTATCAGTTATGTTAATTATTATTACCAAGTATGTACAGTAAAATTTGTATTCGGCAAAAAAGTTACTCATACATTTATCACTGAAAATGAAATTCCCATTTCAGTGTGAGTACGTATGAGTATGAGTGTGTGTACTGAATGTCAAATACAACCTAAAATATAAAACACAAAAATAGTACAAGTTTACTAAAAGTAAAGCACATAATAATTACACTATTAACACAGCTATTACTTACTAGCTAATTGGTGACAAAAAATTTAGCTTTAACATGAAATCAAGCTGGCTGATTCAATTTCTCTAACACAACTATCTTTCACTAGAGAAGGTCCAACTGCAGCGTGAGCAGCACCCAGGGCTGCAACCAGCTGGTCATGGTCATCACGGACTATGTGCCCGGGAACCTCACGGAGGTGTTCGATGAATACAACCGGGAGAAGGTGGGCAACGTCACCTACATCCCGGTCAGGGTGTTCACGTACCTCATTGGAAAAGAGGTCACTAATGTCCGGGAGATACAGTGGATGGCTTGCTTGAATAGAGGTAAGAATTTAAAAATGTGCCTATCTAAATAATAATACCTAATACATAAGTATGTTTTACAGGGGTAGACAATAAATATATCGCTTACAGAGATAAAAGCCTTCAGTAGCAAAATATGTTTTTTTGTGTGGTAACAATCAAATAAAGAAAAAGTAGATAATGACGGAAAAACGTACCTAACTAGGCAAAAGTCAAGGTTTATTACGAAGCTTAATTATCACGGCAGTATGATNCGGATTGCAATCTCTAAATGTATACCATGATTTATAATTTATGGAGTCGGTGTTGGAAGATTTGAATATTTTATAGTTTCCTTGAGCTGTCACTTGACAGCCTGGCACACTTTTACTATGGTGGATCAAAGTATTTTGGTTTGACTATAGAGCGTGAGAACACGCACACAGTCACAATTATTTTAGTGTGAATAAAAATAGCATCGAAATTACCTAAACTTGACATGCCACGCTAGACGTAAACGCTCTTAAGTATAAGCGGAGGATCCTTGATAAATCCCGCAAACTGCTACATTGATTTTATTCGCTCACAAGTTTAACTGTGAGTGGGTAGGGTGGGTAGTAAGCTTTGAATATTTAGTGGAACAAAATTTACTTTGTCATTTGAATCTATTCACGAAGCAAAAGGGATGGGAATAATACAAAACAATATTATAACAAGGGGTTTCTTGGAATGAAGGTTAAAAGTAATGTTGGTTGTGTTTGTCACAGTCGATAAATCGAAATAGATACGTTTGATCGTATTTAATTAAGTAACTTGGTTTGGTATGAATATTGAATAGTCACCAGCACATCAACCGACTTCAAAATAATCCAATTAATTTTGAACTTTCGACTAAAAACATGTCAATCAATTGGTAATTGGCGGCCGTACTAAATTGAAACATACATGGTTGACGGCACATCAAAGTAAACATTAACGTCTTATAAGTATGTTGTTATAGGAACTATGTTTCAATTTATAGAATGTAGGTATCTGATACCTACCTGATTGATGTAATTTTGTCACCCTATAGGTTACTTCGTCCACATTCATTCTGTAGAAGAGGTGCAGCAGCAAGTATTGAAGTACATCAACGTGATCGCTCGCCCCATGATCCTCGCGAAAGACGAACCGCCGCCCACCTGGACCCACGCCAATATCGATTACACGGTAAAATATACGATGAATACATTATATTATGGTTTTAAAGATTACAATCTCGTTAAGCACATAGTTATCTAACATCAGATCGGAGGCAACTTCTTTGAATTATCTAACATTAACGACATTGTAAATGTAGATTTTTCTTTGTCATAGCCGTCCCTTTTCGCTTCATTTGTATTCTACTTCTTTTCTGTATAGGATGAATTTTTACTAATCCAAAATAGGTGATTCAAGGGTGACAAACTTTGCACAAGAAACTATGTAGGTGCCAAGGTTGCCTACCTCGCTTTAGTTAGTGCAAATTATTTAATACCATGAAAGCGGGCGACGAAGTTATCGGCTGAAGTTAGAAGATAACAACAAGTTTCTTGTCCAAAGTTGTCTGTTATCATGACGACAAATAAATCTTTCAGTGTTTTACATAAACGTAATAAATAATAATTTTAATGTCGTGGCCGAAGATATTAATTAACGTCGCAGCATTTTTAATGAGCGGATGAAATAAGGTCACTGCCTTACCCTCTAGTCAAAATTACAAGACTCTACTCTTTTAAGTTTAATATCTGAAATTCTTGATTAATGGAGAGAGCCCAACTTCGGCCATTAATCGCTCAGAATCCACATTTAAAATGTTCAAAGAAAGTTGAAGTATAACAAGAAATGAGCACCGTCCTTGTTTAGAAGCCTCCCACTTTACCTTTATGTTTTCGCTTTTCTGTCGTAAAAGCAGTCATTAGGCCTTCATTATCATTTGAAAAGTGTTGTTAAAAGATACACTTTGCTATTTGCAAGTTAAATATGATATTACTTTGCAAACTATGGGCTTTAATGTTAAATTATAACTAGGTAGGTATATACAGGGTGTTAGGTAAATGGGTATGTGAGCCGACACTAGCCCATGTTAACATGGTCATATAAATGGTATGGTGAAGTCAGAAAATTGATATCTTCATTTTAATTATTTTATTTTTCATACAAATCGGATTTCATATAATTTATTTTGTATGAAAATTAAAAAATAAAATAAAATGATGATATCAAATTTCTGACTTCACCATACCATTTAATATGCCATTATTAACATGGGCTAGTGTCGGCTCATATACCCATTTACCTAACACCCTGTATAATTTGTAAAACCTTCTAGATGCTAGAGCCTCGTTATTTTAATGGTAGCTTCAGTAGGCCTTACTCGACCTCATTTCCGATATAGAGCTCAGAAATATCTGATAATGGCGTACTATGCCTTTTGAGCTTCATGGATGTTTCCGAAACAAATAGAAAGAAAGAAAGAAAGAAAAGCATTTATTTGGTTCCGACTTAAAAAAATATAACACACAGAATCAGATAACAAAAAACAAGTATAAGTTAGAACCAAAATTGGCCACCGCTCAGCATGTGTCATGCTCTGGTGTGGTAAATAAAACCAGAACACGACGCTGTTATTCTGCGGTGAACTAACTGTGAAATAACTGCATTAAAACACTTATCCGTGAAATAAATTATTAAGTAAGTTTGATGAAGTTATTTTACATGGTGTGTGATCTTTTCAGTCATAATAATGGCATATGATGTACATTTTTAAACTTTTTCTCACGATCTAATATTATATTATTTCTCATTTCACAGAGAACATCACTCTGGGGAGTTAGCAGAGACGTGAAAAAGGTAAAAGAAATGTGTTATTCGGAATCGAATAACATTTCACATTCACCGCTTTCGGGTGAAAAATGATTGTTTCATTCATCTTTCAGCCTGATGAGGACAAGTTGGTGACGTCAGTGGCCATCCCGGCCTTCGATCACAAGTACAATGAGGAGCACAACGACGCGATGCTGCTCGGTGTGGCCGGTACTGACGTGCCTATCGACAGCATAGCCAAGCTAGCACAACCACATCAGGTATGTGGAACATTGTTTTTTGTTGTGGATTAAGTATGTTTTTAATGAAACTGTCATTGACAGTACTAATGTTCAAAAGGGAATAAAATTGGAAACATTTAAAATAAAGTTTGGAGTAAATATTTGTTTTACTTTGCACTTTTCTTGCACAAAATTAAACACTAATAATGCGACGGTTTATCCTATTGTTAGTCTCATTGTCATTAAGTATTAGGTCATTTAGTTTTCACTGCAGAGGGATAACCATTTTTAATTTAGCAGAGGAAAAAAGAGGATTTGGTCTACACGTTCCACTATTAGTATACCGAATTCAAAAATACAACTAAGTGAAACCGACAAAAAGTAACAGATGTTTTTTCCAAGCATTTCCAGACAGCGGATTGCTAAGCAAGAAACCCATGTCCATTAATCTTAACCTAATCTCGTTTCAGCTCGGTGTAAATGGATACTCATTTATCGTGAGCAACAACGGATATCTGCTTCTGCACCCCTTGCTCATAACAACGGTAAGTAAGGAGATAATACCCGACAATATTGACATGGATATCCCATTCTATTCAGTACTAAAAGTATATGATTAGGTACACGATTCGTTCTAATCTTCGTAAGGAAGAATGATACGAGCTCTTTATTTGTACTGTCGTAGCCACTACTAAATTTCCCAATTTTGTGGTTACAGCATTAGTTTCAGATTACCTATTGCTTTTTATGCAAAGGTTGTAAAGTAATAAATGTGGCAATTTACTAGATTATTTACCAAAGATATTGTTAGGTATTAATGGTTGAGGATTACTTTTTAATGGTTGAGGATACTTTTTATGTTAGTTCTATGTTATTAAATGATATCTAATAAATCAATTATTATTCATCAGATCAACAACACCTTGCAAGCTAACTACAACAGCGTGGATTTCGTGGAGGTGGAGCAAGTGGACGACGGAAATGGCCCGCGAGTCCTCGGCGAGGAGATTCAGTCGCTGAGGGAGATGCTGGTCAATGGAGAAGACGGCAACATGAGAGACGTCAAGGTTCTCTACCACTATGATAGCATGAGGTAGGTAACTTTTACAATTCTACTAGAAGTCGAACCTTTACTTCGAACTTCTCTTATGTTCTTCTGAAGTTCTGATTAATTTCGTTGTGGGTCCAATGACAGTAACTTTCCCCCGGGACAAACTTGACCTTTACTGGCTGGGTTTTTATTGGCGGTCAAGCTGTAGCTGTAGCTACCAATCCTGGCTATACAGGAGTTGCAGCGGTGGAAACAAGAGGTGGGAATACTCCCGTAATTCTTCTACCATAGAGGCCTTTTTTTCGCCATTTTGAGGTTCAATAAGAACGCAGCGCGAGTTGCTCTCGCCTACTAACATGATTTGGAATTGTATGTGTAAAAGATTTTAGACTATTTGCTATTCAATGTGGGTGGTAAATGTTTTATGGAGTCTTTGTTTAGTGACTCAAAAAAATCAAGCTACACTGTAAAACAGAACTCTTCATATCACTCTTCTCACTCACTCTTCATATTAACACATTTATTAATTTGACCAGTTTTAATATTATTTACAAAATGACAGATTTAAGGAAAAGGTCCTTTGTCCAGCAGTGGACGTCATTTGGCTGAAACGAACGAACGAACGAAGGAAAAGGTATGAAAATTATTAATACTTATTTGATTAATTATTAAAATTATTATTATTCAAATTCCAGGAGAATAGCGCGAGTCCAGCACGACTATTTCTTCAACAAGTTAGAGGGTACGCCGTTCGCGATGGGCATTTCGCTGCCCAAAGGCTATGGAGACACTGAGCTCTTGCTCAAAGACAACCCTTTGGAGGCCAAACAGGGAAAGGAACTTACTGGCATCAACGTTACTGATTACTTTAGGTTCAGTTACAGGGTCCACCCTGATTGGTAAGTTTCAAAATAATAGTGTTAGTTTTATTTATCATTTTGATTATAGGTCAGTCAGTACCTGAGGTGAGGGGGAGGGGTGACACTAACATAATATTATGACTTGACAGACCATATAAATCTGAAGGAGATCTGAAGTCTCGCTGATGTTTGACGATACAAAAACACCCTCCCATGCCGCTCCCATTATTGAGAGATTTTTAAGCCCTTAAATTGATCGTGTGTTAAAGTATCATACATATTGCAGGGTTTACTGCAAATACCACTACCTCGAGGGTCACGAGTCAGATAATGCGGAGGAGGAGATCTGGTCGTTTTTGGTCCGTCTCTCGAACAACGAAGTCGACATCACTAAGAAGCAATACATTGATGAGGACGACAAACGAAATTTTACTCTAGAGAGTAAGATTCCTTTTATTTACAATGCTTAGTATTCTCATACTTTTATTATAGACTTTCAAATGCATAAAATTATCCATACGTCCAAATCTGGACCACTTTTAAAATGACTTATTGCCGAATAATGACTGAGTTTCTTGCGCTGCTTCTCAGCACTGGCCCATTTATTGTCCCGAAGTTGCGAAGCAGTGGTAGGGTAATTCTGGGACGTGTAAAAGTGCTGTTTCAAAGCCTACTTGTAAAAATGAAATGACTACTTATGAGTTTTTATAATTTGTAGCTCATTGTGGCAACGCTACGACTCAGTTGCAAAAAGACGATTACTATTGTAATGAGGATCTGGTGAAGCAACTGGTGTTTGACGCGAAACTGACCACGCCATTCTTCAAAGAGTGGAACGCTTCTGACGAGGAGGTGGAACTGACGGCCAAGTACAACGTCAGCGTGAGGTTCATAGCAACCTCCAGTGGCTTGACCAGGTGGCATTACATCTTCGACGAAGACAAGAACGAAGTGGTCGACGATGAAGGGAACAGATGGAAGAATTCTAAAGAAGAGTATGTAAACCATAATACAGTAATGTTTATATTATTTCCAGTCAACCTCATTGTTGAACTCAAAATTAAGCTTTTTCTTAGATACTTTAAACTTTAAAGAATTCATGACATGTCTAGTCATTCATGTTGGCAATAATTACTGTTGGAAAGTAAGAGGATAAATATTAAAGAAACAAGTATACTTTAGGGATTGTTAAAGGTTACCTAATTTTCCCATTTCAGAGTTTTCGGTGACAAATATTACAACGCTATCGAAGAGACGTGGTACAAGGCAGCAGTTCTTCAGCACATGATCAACAGAGAGTCCATAGTGATTTCCACACCGCTGCCAATCTTAGACGAAATAGTCCAGAAAGGAATGGAATTTGACAAGAATGGGGACATAGTCATGACTGCCAGCTACGCCATATTTTACAAAGATGGAGATTCTGAAACACCCGCTTCTGTCGTTGGTTTTGAGTTCTCATTTTTGAGTTTCCAAAAGAGATTTTTGGAAATTACTGGAAGAACGTCGGATGAGGTGAGCTAATGAAACATTTTCATAATGCGTTCTAAATTTAATAAGTAATTTAGGTACTTACTTATTTTATACCTACTTATTTTTATCTGCTCCATGTGAAATTCCATTGGAAGTAAAAATATTCAATTTTGACCTTTGTTTCTTTTTTCTTATTTATTTATGCCGTACGTCACATGATATTAGGGGCCCGGCATTTCATATCAAGTTTCATTTATTTATTGGTAGAGTACCTAACTATCTTATGCATGTTCAGATGTTCATGTTAACAAATTAAACTCCAGGAAAAATCATAGTTCCTAGTTAATTCTAGTCAGTAATTAGACAAATTAGTAATCTAAATTGTTGAACATTTCAGCAATTCCACTGTAACAACCCTGACTACGACTGCTACGTGATCGACAGTTCGGGCTATGTAGTCATGTCCCGCGACAAAGAAGACATCGGCACATTCTTCGGCGCCCTTGTACATAAAGAACTGGGGACTTCAAACGCGCATTATGTGCTCGCTTCATTCCTGAAGAAGAATGTATACGACCACGTCGAAGTGTTCAACTACCAAGCCTTGTGTCCGTATAAGGAGCTGCAGGCGCAAGGAAATAGCGCTTGGCAGTTTTTGACGGTTTGTATTTGACGAGATAAGAACCAAGAAATGTTAAATTCTCTCTTTATTATAACTTTGATATCTCAGAGAATTTACACAATCCTCTCTAATCAGAATCTCTGGGTACTAGACAACGGATAAAAACATTTATCTACTTTTTTAAATCTTATAGGTCAGACAGATTTTGTATTTTACGATCATTTACTTTCATATTATCAGAATTTGTTTTGTGAGCATATTAACAGACTATTTTTATTGTATTTTATGTTCCCAGCCTTTCAATATAGCCACCAGTTTCTTCCGTTGGCTCTTCGCAGAGATGGTCATTATCTTAACAGACTTCCCCAATTGGAATTGGAATGTTTATGGGAACGTCCTGTTTGAAGGTTAGTGCTAACAGGAATAGATGACGGTGACACATACTTTCAAAGAAATGGAAAATAATCTAGTCTTAAAACTTTAGTATAGAGCATATACTTAATTATTTAGTCTAAACATTACCTACACTGTATAAAGCTGTAATAATGTCGTTTAAGAAGCAAATAACTAGCTTTTGATATCGCTTTGCAACATCTAATCAAAGCCTAGGTATTATAGATAAAGTAGGTACCTATACGCAGTTGGTTTTACCTCTGTCAAATTTATCTGATATCACAAAATAATCAACCGAAGTGAAACCTGACTGCATAAAACATTTCTAGATACAGTGTGTATGTTTATGGGCGTTTAGTTGTAAATGAGTAATAGATAAATGTTGACTGTTAACTAATACTATGAGATAGAAATAACGTGTAGGTAAAGTGAATGAGCCTGTATTAACATCATGCAGCGCTCTTCGCATGACACGCTCTCAGTCGCAGCAACTGTTCTGTAAACAACTAATATTTCCGCTTACGTAGCAATGCCAACAACCGCATGCTTTCCGCTCGCAGATTATGATCTAAACCTGGGAATCACAGACGAGCCGACCACGACCACCACGCCGCCGCCTCCGCCTGAGGCAGAGAATAAAGACGGGAATGAAGATGAGAGGAAGCCTTTCTCTTGCGACCACCGTATCAGCTTATACATCTTGAACCAGTTGATGTTCTTGGATCCAATGGGGGAGATTAAAATGATATCGGAGGACGAGCCGGGCGACTGCCACCCGCGGTACTGGGCCACGTATATGCCGGAGACGAATCTATTGCTGGTGGTGATCGAGAATTCGTACGTGAAGTTCAAGGACGACTGCAATCTGCCGCCCAACACCACGCCGCAGCCGACCAGCAACTCCACGACCAGCCGCGAGCCCTGCCACAAGCTCGACTTGGCCGGGCTCACGAGAAGGCGCCTTGAGGGTTGCTTCACTTACCATGATGGGGTAATTTTTTATTCTTACTATTTTTTTAAATATTTTATTAATCAGAGAGTTGTCATCATATTATCTGAACAGGTGAAACCAATTTTCTGAGCCATAGGGATAGCCATGAGTGATAGGGAGAATTATACTCTGAATTTTTAGTTTTATACTTTAATCTAAAGTAAGTATATTTAAACGATTGTCATTCTTCTAATGCTAGTCTAACCTGTGGTCTAACTCAAAGTTAAGTCAACTAATACCAATGTAAGTGGAAAGCTCAAGAAAATGGTGGAAAAATATATTATAATCCAATTCACTGACATATGGTTATTAGATACTAAATAGTCTGAAACTACCGCAAATATCGATATTAAATAGTGTTTTATTTCCATAGGAAAGAAACATAACAGCATGCGGCATCGGCAGCATCGCCCGCGCCGACCTGCCAGTGTTCACCGCGTCGGTGCTGATCGCCACGTTCCTGTACCGACTGCTGGCCTAGGTAGACGGCCTACAGAATTTGTACCTTTGTTACTTTCGCAATAAAACTTGTTGCACCTTTCGTCTGTTTATTTATGTGTTTCGTCTATTATTTCCTAACTTATCCTACTTAAAACCTAATCAATTAAAGTTAGAAACACTAGACTTCAAAACTTGGTGACCTTCAAGATATTTGGAAAAGTTAACTTATCTTCGCGTTTAGGACTACTGCACTACCGAATAAAACTTCACTATCAATCGCTGTACTATAGTAGGCATTCAACATGAAAACGCAGCCACTTCTTTTACCTACAAAGAGTACGTGACGTGACACGCTGACCTACTCATAGGGGATACAAATCGATGCGATCTGCAGGTATCGCGGCTCCACAAGTTTAATCTAGTTACCGCACCAATACTCGGAGTAGGGAAAATCAGTCGGTCCGCGCAAGAGGCACAGAGCGCATGCCCGGCCCGCGCTCCCACGCGCCTGCGTACTCCAGACCTTACAATCCACGTAAAACACTCGATGGTAATCCTAAAACTAGGACGGGACATGTGTCGTAGTGCATGAATGCCACTCAAAGCGTTAGGATAGGGGCCAAATTAGATTTAAGTGTTTCTGATGTGCAAGGTCGTATCGTCGGTGTTCCTGCTGCTTCTCGTGTCCCTCGAAAGTCGGGACTGCATCGCCAGTGCACACAATGATCCCAGAATATTGCTTAGCTCGTAAGTATATTGTGACTCCGATAACGCAAATATCGAGTACAATTTATCAGACTATCGCATAGATTTAAGCACAGTATTCAATTAAGAACAATACAATATCCTTTTATGTTATCAATTTCATTGACATAACGAAAATTGGGTACCAGGAGTAACCATTGTGATATCAATACAACTTTGAATAGTAATGTATTTGGACATTTGACTTCTTGTTTGGAAAAATGGAACTAATCAAATTAATACTACTGTTTCTGAAATGCCAATTTGTTTGTAGGTAATGTTTATGAAAGCTTATTATCATAATTCAAAGATTGACATACCTAAACTCAACTAATGAGTGAATTCTATCATTGCACTAAGTTCGTTTTTATTTACTTAGTTGCTGTTATCAAATTAATTACATGTCGTCATCAGAAACTAACAATCTTTCAGAATTACAATTTTTAAGGTGAAAATCTATATACTTAACTACTTACTCGTACCTATTTAAAAAGTTAGAAAGTATCTTACTTATTCAATATTTTTATGGACATTCTGAGTATTGCTTATCACAGCAAAGTTTTGAAAATAATGCTTTTTACAGCGTGCAAGCATGGGCGGTCAAGCTTGGCACAGAATTATACCATTTCGGCGAGTTTATTACAAGAAAAAAGGAAGTGCAAGATGTAAGTTAACATCCAAAACAGTTTTATAATATTTATTGAACTTGCATTATTTTAATGTTGATAATTTTATTTTTATGGCTTTAGAGTTTCAAATCGGCTCAAATTGAGTCTCGAGATGGTGAAAAGCTAGTTCAAAGTATGTCTGATGATATACGCGCGATGATGGAACTCAAGATAAGCGCTGTCAAAAGAATAGTAGAAGCAGCAGAGAATATGGCCTTTGATAAACAAAATGAACCAGTACCTGAAGATTTCCAATTTTTCAACAGCAAAGAAATGGATGATCCATACGACGAACACGCGATCACGACCACACAAGAGCCAGAATTCGTTTTTGAAAATTGGGTCGTGAGGCCACCGACTAAGAACGCTCATATGCATAACAATCCGCACTTTTCCGATATCCCTGTAAATATTAACTTCAGCAGTGTCCATATTCCAACAAATGTTTATGCTTGGGGTAAGAAACATAGAATAAAATTAATTGTTAACTAATTGACATAATAGGCTAATAGGCCTAAAAAGTGTAGACTAATATACAATATTTTGTGTTTTATAGCACCAGAAGTCATAAAAGGAATTCATTGGTCAGAAGGATTAGACACACATTTTATAAACAACTACCAAAGTGATCCGACGCTATCATGGCAATACTTCGGCAGTTCTACTGGGTTTATGCGACACTACCCAGGTAAGAACAGACAAGTGCTCGTAATTTGTTTGCTAATTAGGAGCGTATTTCGTAATTATTTTATCAAATAATTTCAATTTCAGCGTTAAAATGGAGAGCAGATCCTGTCGATATTTATGACTGCCGAACAAGAGCTTGGTATATGGAAGCCGCAGCAAGCCCTAAGGATGTAGTAATTCTAGTAGATAGGAGTGGTTCTATGACTGGCCAACGGCGTGACATAGCTAAACATGTCGTTACTAATATTTTGGATACTCTTGGCAACAATGATTTTGTAAACGTGCTGACGTTTGCTAATACTGTGGAGGAAATAGTACCTTGCTTTGAAGACTCCCTTGTTCAGGTTGGTTAATAATAATTAGCAATATTTATCTTAAAATAAAATTTATCACGGATTTTTAAGTTTTAATGAATAATAAACTTTTAGGCGACCTTGGGAAATCTTCGCGAGTTGAAGTTAGGTCTTGACAACTTCGAAACGACGGAGATAGCAAACTTTTCAGCAGCTTTGACTCGTGCGTTTGAGCTTTTGGAAATGTATAGAAATAATAGCGGCGGAGCCAACTGCAACCAAGTAAGCTAAAATACAGTTAGATATTATCAAATTATTTGTCAAATCATCGGACAATATACCTACAATGGGATGAAATTGTTTTAGGCAATCATGCTGGTTACGGACGGCGTCCCATATAATTACAAGGAACTGTTCGAGAAGTACAACTGGAAGTACGATACTCCTGTGAGGGTGTTCACGTACCTGATAGGGCGTGAGGTAAAGGTAGTACCATTCCAGGTATTACTGTGTGTCGTAGTCATTGTGCGACCTGCATAATGCCTTCCCTTCGAACTTACCTACCAGTACACCTTGAATGTGGTACTCTTCTTGTCTATTGTCTATTTCTCTATTTTTGTCAAAGCCAACGTGCATGTAAGTGGTAAAGTCTCGGATTAAACTCTTTCTTCCATCTTCATAACGCTTCCGCTTATAGTGTTTAGTTTTTTGTAGATAGTTTGGAATGTTTTGATTAGTGTTGGTTGTAGTGGTAGTATTGTGTCGTCCTAATTAATTGTTATGATATATAGATCTGTAAATAGGTTTTTATATTATTTCAATTTATTTTTCAATATCAATTACAAGATATAGTAGGCCACTAATGAAGGCGCTGTAATTGTTATTATTTAGATTTTGATTTCTGAAATAGCCTTTTCTTCACGAGGCAATCGATGAACATCATAGTCACGATTAAGGAATAGGCGTCTCACATCACAAGCACACGTTCACTGGCAGATATTTGTGGGTTTGGAGAAGTAATTTGTGTGAGATGGCTGTAGGTGGCCGACGTGAGAGAAGTGAAGTGGATGGCGTGCGCGAATCGCGGCTACTACGTGCACCTGAGCACGCTAGCTGAGGTGCGGGAGCGCGTGCTAGAGCACGTCAATGTGCTGGCACGCCCGCTCGTGCTGCAGAGAGAGAAGCATCCTGTGGTCTGGACCCCAGTTTATGCTAACGTAACGGTACGTTTTAAGAATCTGGAACCCACGTTAAAGTTTACAAAACAGTAACATACACCTCACTATACTATCTACTTTTTTTCCAGGACCCAAAAGTTGCTGACTATTTATGGGATCAGCGAGAACGAGCTGAACAGAAGGAGCGTTTCATGAGTCAACGGCGGGATAAGAATCTTTTCAACTCAGCACAAGAACAAGATAGGCGATGGAGAATTACCCAGGTTTGAAAGATCTGTGCAATTATTTAGCAGGCATATCTGCTAAGAATTTTGCAGAACTTATTTTCAAATGCTTTTGGAAAATTTGCAGATGAAACAGGGTCAGTATAGCGAACTTGGAAATTCCCAGTATCAATTGATGACCTCAGTTTCGATGCCAGTTTACGATCTTCGTCACAACGAGGTGTGTATTATGCCAGTCACGTAATTTAATAAATGTATATGTGTTGATATACTTATAAGTCCCCCAAATAAATGAAAGATAATTCGGGTTGTTTGAGAAGGAGAATGTTGTGAGAAACCTACTCTTCTAGTTTTGTTTATTGGTGTTCGTCTAAATTTATTGTCCGTTTATATTTCATTTTCCTCTTCTCAGCTAACTCGATTAACTATCTATGTAAAGTCTTTTCTAAATTCTAAATTTCTGATTGTGCATGCCCAAAAACAAACCTATTGTTTATTTCAAGAAGATTATGTTCACAGATTGGTTTTACATTTTCTACTAATTGGACGTAAGCCCTGTCTCTTCTTATTTACTTTGAACTGAATCTATCATCTATTTCTTCTTAAATTTTTAAAATATCTTTTTAATAATACTCCGTTTTGTTTGATGGTTTCCCCTCAGAACATCACAGAGAATGTACTGATAAATGAAGCTTACTGGGTATCAGTTACAAAAGAGGTACTACACTTAGAAAGTTTTGATGATTTAATGTAAAGTTTTGCAAGATACAAGAGAGTTTTTATGATTTAGTTTTTTGGATTTCAGTAACGGTAAAGTCTTATTTGGCCCCGTTAGCGATGCATCTGTCCTCGACAGACGAGGACTGCGCCCGCGCGGCCTCGGTCGCCAGACTGCCATGTGTTGTTCAACCCTTATGGCTTACTGTAGTATTGTAGTTTTCTACTAGATCGTAGGCGTAGACCACTAGGGTGTTATGATAAACTTTTCTATCAATTATCAAATTAATTTTTCTATGCAAGAGTTATGATCTATATTCCACTACACACACTATCTAATAAAATAAATTATTTTGCCTGAATTTAGTGATGTCTTCGTAGAGACATTTTGAATTGACTTGTACAACGAGAAGTAAATGTAAATATTTTTGATGAGTATCGTGCCGCCCGACATATGACTCGTATGGGGCTTTTGTTACTTGAGCATTTGTTCAGTTTAAAGTTTTATCTTCTTCAGAATGACAAAACTTTTGATATTACTAAACATTTTAGTGTAAATAAAGTTTTCTCTTCCGAAGAGAGAACATTATGATTTCTAGTGCAGTTACTACAATGCATTTATCTATATGTTATTACGTTTTATTGCATTCGTACGTCCACAACCAATCGCAGTCCGTAGAGGAGAACGGCCAGAAGGAGGTAGGCCCATGCTCTCATAGATTACTACAACTCGGAGATGGATGTGTGGCGAAGGACGATCTGGGGGCTTTTATTGGCAGAGTGGCACTTCGATCAACACTACATTTGCCGTAACTACTTGATACTAACACAATCAGTACTTTCATACCTCTAACAGCCAATAACAGTCAGCATGATGAATTTGCTTTTGACTCTGAACCAAAGATTTTTTTGCTATCAAATACTTGTTGACAAAATTATATGGGGAAAGTGGGGATACAACTGCATTGTATTATCAGTCATTAAACTTGTTTCTTGTTTGCCCTTGTACTCACTAACTGCAAATGTCGACAGATTCTTGCAAGGATCCAAAGGCTACTAAAGGCCTCTATCTACAACAGTAACGGTAGTGGGTTAATAGAATATAAAGAGTAGAGTTTTAATTTCATATGATTAAATTATGTAATATTTTGAGTAGATTTTGCTAGAACCTGTAATTATGAATACAATAAATTAGAAACCTCTTAAAACGTAGTTCTATATGAAATATAGAACTTCGCCTAACGGGGCGTAGATGCTAAATATAAATTGTTGCTAGAGAACTAAGCAAGAGTTACATAATTATTGTAGCGTTTTAAGATGGCTATTACAGTGCCAAATAACATGATCGAGTAGTTAGAATGATTTTGACTGTTTATGGATAATAAACTTGTATATTAAGTCATGTATTTTAAATTGTCATGAAAAATGTTTGGTACATTTTTTTTAGATTAGCATTAATATCAACGTAGAAAATAGTTTTAATCAAAAATAATAATGCAATAAGGAAGAAATGATTTTATTAACTTAAGTTACATGAATTATGTACGTTTGTAGAGTTTTGGATAAGATGTTTTAATGATTTTTAAATATTTCAGATGCGTATAGCTAGACTATTAGGTGTGGCGGGAACTGATGTCCCATTATCAGAAATACAAGCTCTCATGACTCCTTACAAGGTAACACTACTTTCTGAGGACTTAGTGTGAGTTTTTATCAAACGTGCTCACTAGTGAGCGCGTCAAAAAATGACTTTTAATGTATGCTAGGGGCCTAGCGGGAAACGTTCAAAAACTAAAATAATCACACATTTTTTAAACGCGCTCACTGGTGAGCGCGTTTGATGTAAACTCACACTCAGCCCACTGCACTGGTCTATCTACATAACATTTGATGTAAGTTTTACCCAATTATTATTATTTCCAGATTGGTGTCAACGGTTATGCTTTTATAGTAACGAATAACGGATACATACTGATTCATCCTGATTTACGGCCTGTGGTAAATAAATATTTTATTTCGGACGTAACTAAGTATTTTGTTTGTTTGTTTCTCAATTTTTGATGTAATCTATGTATTCTTTACAGTTTCAACAAATATTGAAACCCAGTTATAACAGCGTTGATATGATCGAAGTAGAACTTTTTGATGACGACAGAGGGCCAAGGAATTTCAGCAAAGAATTGACTGCGGTAACTATTATTATCACACATAATATTAAAAACTGTCTGTTAGTCAACCATATTATGTATTCGGTTTCAGAAGACATTTGTGAATTAAAATTAACCCAAATATTTCAGCTCCGAAAAGAAGTGATCGATCAGAAAACGGGTAAAAAAATGATGAATACAAAGTACCACATGGACGACATGGTAAGTAGAGTGATATAAGAGTAGAAGAAAGTATTCAGAAAATTATGTGAAAATCCGAAAGATAAAGACTTCGACAATACTAAAATGAAACGAGTTTGCATATTATGGCGAGTTCGTGTCCGAGAATCAACTCAAAGATTTAAAATACCTAAATACAAGCCTTGATGTAATTTACAGACGACGACATATTTAAGCATCTTACTCAATATACATAGTTGCAATAGGACTCAATAGGTGCCTATTTACATAAAAAATGTATAACCTAAATGTATCAACCATGGTCGACAGAAAAGGGTGTCCCGTGGTAAGAAGCACTACTACTGGACTGGCATCAGCGACTCACCCTTCACTCTGGTGGTGGCCATCCCAGAGAACTACGGCCGGCACCGCATCACACCGCCGCCTACAGATGACATCCACCGCCTCTCGCTCACATCCAAGAACATTTCGGCGAGGCAGTACTTGTCCGACAAGTGGAGCGTTCACCCTGAATGGTAAGAGAAAAAAACTGAACAGAGCTAACAGTTTATTGAAAAAAAAAAAAAAAAAAAGTTATTAATGTGTTACTGGCTGGATACAAACGCTAGAGTCCGGTAAAAAGTTGCTTAAAGCAAGGTTGATTCTGCTAGAGATCATATCAACGCGGGTGATGATATCGATAACATAAATAGTTACTTACATAAACTCCTGGTATCGTCAACACACTAACATATTGCGCAAAATGAAGCTTATATTGTAAACTTGTCTCTTACAATTTCCAGGCTATACTGCNCACCCTTCACTCTGGTGGTGGCAATCCCAGAGAACTACGGCCGGCACCGCATCACGCCGCCGCCTACTGACGACATCCACCGCCTCTCGCTCACATCCAAGAACATTTCGGCGCGGCAGTACTTGTCCGACAAGTGGAGCGTTCACCCTGAATGGTAAGATGAAAAAACTTAAAAGCTAGCAGAGCGTATTAAAAATAAACTAGTTAAACAACGAATTTAATGTGTTACTGACTGGATAAAAACTTTGGAATCCGATCTAAAGTTGCCATAAGCAGGATTGATTGTGCTACAGATCAAATTCAAATTTAATTATTTATTGCTATCCCACACGTTAAATAGGATGTTCAAAATTATGTAGGACAGTATAGACCCTGTCAATCAACGTGGGTAATGCTACTGACAACCTAAACTCCTGGTATCGTACTATTGGTCAACACACTAACAATAAAATATTTAACAAAATGAAGCTATGTTGTAAACTTGTCTCTTACAATTTCCAGGCTATACTGTCGCCACTACGAGCGTAACTTCGCGACCGCAGAAGATGAGCTGCTGTATTTCCTCGAACGCGTGGCCAAGCCGGGCTGGAGGTGGCCGGCCAAGCCGCGCCCACCGGAGCACCACAAGAACAAACCCGGACACGAGCGACATAACAACGGTAAATAGACTTTATGGGCATGCAAATAAAGTATTAAGTTCGCAACTTCGCCTCTGCGGAAGACGAGCTGCTGTATTTCCTCGAGCGCGTAGCCAAGCCAGCTAAGCCGCGCCTGCCGGAGCACCACAAGAACAAACCCGGATGTGAGCGACATAACAACGGTTTGAGAATTTGTTCATGTGTGCATAGAAAAATATTCTGGTTCCAAATAGAATTGAAGAATGGTTACACTAAACTCTTCAAACAGTCTACGTGCGATAAGGCGTTCTTCGTCACATAGAGAAATATTGGGGGCTTGTAATAACTTATGTATTACTGAACTTCAGATTTAACACTGAAATAAAAACGTTGATGTTAGCTACAAAAAAATTCACCTAATGGACATCAAACCCTTTGATTTTACAGGCACTCCGGACGCCAATGAACGCAATAAGGTATCGAACAGCACACCCAGGAATGAATACTACTGTGAGTGTTATTTTCATGCAAAGGACTATATCCAGTAACATATTATTATAATTTTTCAACAGGCAGATAATATTTTATGATGATTTTATGATTATTTTCTTTTTAATTTTTCCAGGTGACCACGGTTTGATGCAGGCTTTAGTTTACGATGCCAGGAACACGGCCTGGTTCAACAAGACGATAGAGAGCTCTGCGTCTGATGACAAAGCGTAATTTCTTACTTGCTTGCTATCATAAACGATAATTAATACTAATACATAATATGAATTAGATTTTGACATTAGGACATTTGAAGGTAAAAAAGCATTGAGCACACAAGGTTAATAATATCTCCTCCAAGTAACATTAAATTTTGTAAAAGGATAGTGCCAGGGTCTGGACCAAGTGTTGCCCAGAATCAACCCATAGTGCATTTTGTTCCTCAGGCCTATACTAATGTGTAAACCGAAGTGCACTGAAATCTATCCCTGGAGTTAAGAGAAAAAAAGAGTTTTGTTTTGAATTATTTACATACAAAATATCATCGATGTATACGTACTACGCATTAGATTTCGCGATTGTGGCATTAAATAACACTCGCTATGTCGAACTGAAACCATATTGCACCCGTACACGTTGCTTTAGTGCGATTTAGACATTCTTTATAAACGATCTAGCGCTGTTTTAATTGTTTGGTAAGCTGAAAAAATTCATTATTTCCAAAATTAAGCAAGAAGTTTTAGTTTTCTATACTTGTAAAAAATCAATTTATTGGTGTATTACAATCGATTATTGAAGTTATTGTAAGCTAAAACTTCTATGGGAACAATTAATTTTTGTCAAGTAACCAAACTACTGCAACAGCGCTTGATCGCTTATAAAGAATGTTGAAGTCGTACTAAAGTAAGGTGTACGGATGCAGTATGGTTAAGTTCAACATAGCGAGTGTTATTTAATGCCAAAATGGTGAAATCTTATGCGTAGTACGTATACATCGATGATATTTTGTATGTAAATAATTCAAAACAAAACTATTTTTTTCTCTTAACTCCAGGGATAGATTTCAGTGCGCTTCGGTTTACACATTAGTATTGGCCTGAGGAACAAAATGCACTATCGTTTCATTCTGGGCAGCACTTGGTCCAACTTCCTCCATGTATCCATGTATGGATGCCAATTTGGCACTGTCCTTTCAAATATTATTTGCCTTAAATTCATACAATATTTTTACATCTATTTCGAGTTATGATAAAAAGTCGATTGATAGTGAATCGTAATGGATAGGTATTATAATGTTAATTAATGCATGTAAAATATTGGTAACCTTTGCACAAGTCACTTACTTTGCACCGTTTTATGTTACGTTCCACCTGGATAGCCCATTGACTAAAGTGATCGGATTATTGCCGAGGTAAAGTACTACGACGACCACTACGTTGTTGCATGATTGTTATTAACTAATTATTGAAAAAAACTATGTTAAATGTTAAAAATATTTAAAAGAAAAATGTAAGGTACCTATATACCACCGATTAAACGATTGGTACTCGAATTTGGCCATTGAGTTAAATGAGCTTTAAAATCAGAACTTTTATTTCTATCTTCTATTACTACTTATAATAAAACATGAAATCTAGCTACGTTATTACGATTATACGATAGGGTGTTTCTCGACCTAACTAATACTTACAAGCGTCCGGGATGGTATGTATTACAATTATTTAAGAGCTGCTTTTGGATAAGTAAGTATAAACGTAGTGCGATAACATTTTAAATATTAAGAGAGGTGATGTCGTGATTTGTACTAGGAACATTTACAACGTTTAATGTGGCTCTCGCTACCATGATTACCTCCTGAAAACCCACAACGAACTTGACATACGCATTTGTTAACTTTTTTTTTGAAACATTGATGAGATAAATTAAATATTGGGTCTAAGCTCGCGTGAACTATTCTTAATGTTGGTCAGTGGTACTGACCGAAATCCTTTTAGTCTAAGACACCAAAACATTAAACTAATAATGGTAATTGTTGTCTTAGGGCGGAGTTCATTCAGCGGTTCGGACACATCGTCGCGTTCCTGTCGACCCACAGCGGACTGACCCGGTGGCAAACACATCCAGCCAAGGACCAAGATGACAAGTAAGTACCTATTGCACATTCGAACTCCTTATTTGTGAAATCGTAACATTCTGAATATGTAGCTACTGAGGATATAATGTGGTATGTAGGTACTATGTACCTACTTGTAAAAATAATCAGACCAAAACATGTTGTGACAATGTATGGTTAACTTTGACAGGCCTGAATTCGGAAAACAGTTCCCGCGTTCTATCGACGAAGTGTGGTATCGTCGCGCCGTGGAGCAACACTACATAGACCCATTGAGCTACGTGTACAGTGTAGTTATGAACACGGATAAATTCCCCTTGAACGTGAGCCAGGCCATGATCACGGCATCACACGCGGTCTTCCATGGAGACACGCATAGGAAGGCTCCCGCAGCTGTCGTGGGCTTTCAGTTCAAGCATGAGAGACTGAGCGAGTGGTTCGAGAATATTACTTCTTCAGTAAGTACTCTCTTCTTCTGTCAGTAACATAATAACTGTTTTCTTTTAATTTATTGCACAATGATAGACCACGGACTTACGTTTCTTTCAGTGCGAACACAACAAGGAATGTGTAACATGTTTAAGTGAAGGTTGGGACTGCTTCTTAGTGGACAATAACGGTTGGATAGTAGTCAGCGAAGATGCTAAACAAACTGGACAGTTCTTCGGGAAAGTAAGTTTAATTCTCAATAACATTCGTAAACGGAAAGACTAAGAGCTATGGTGATTTGAAGTTTTCCTCAATGGTTTATTGTAACTCCTTGATGTATCAATGTCATCTATCGTTACTTTTATTCCACAGATTCGTCCAGATATCATGTCCAAGTTGATAGAAGAGGAAGTGTACAAGGCCGTGCATATCGTGGACTACCAAGCAGTTTGTTTCAGAGAGAGAAAAACTACTAATTTCGCATCAGTTTTAACAACGGTTATATTTTTAACACGCTATTGTAATTTTTATTCTGTCTAGCCAATTTATTCTGATTGGTAATCAATCCAGAATGATGATGTGAGGCCCCATTTCCGCCGTGGGCGGCATTCTATTTTTTGCATCTTGTTTATTGGCGATCGTAGTTCAATAGTAGCGTTCACATGGCCGTAAAAAAACCAAATCCTGGATCTCACAGTCTAGGAAAAATAGGATTCGTTTGATCATTCATGATTGAATATTTCAATCAGATATTCACTCGAGCGTTACGCAAATTCGGAATGGCGGAGCATGCAGCGGGGCGTTCAACGGCATTAATTAAGCGTTCAATAATTGACCAATCAGAAACGGCTCTCAAAGGAAAGTGTCATTACAGGAATGATCGGTGAATTTAATAATTATAATGTGTAAATTGTGTAAATGCTTTATCGAAGAAACACATAGGTATAATAACCCACAACATACATAGAAACTGGTAACAACGCCTGAAGATCCGAAATGTGTAAATGTAGCTAAGCATACAGTATTTGCTGAATGAATTGAGTTTAAGGCAATAAGGGGTCATCTACATCGCGATATAAACAGGATGCAAACTATTGCGCAGCATTTGTAAAATCTTTGTAGAATTTCTGAGTTTGGGGAATGGTCCCTGATTTGTTTGATTCTTACAGCCACTAGAAAATATGCGGATGGTAATGGCATGGATCCTAGCGAGTGCCATCTGGCTCTACAACTCCATCGCCGTGACCGTCGCCCAAGCTTCAGGTTACCCTGCTCTGGACTACGGTAAGAAATTAAACAAGAGGACATGGAATTGTAGCTTGTGTAGCTAACTACAACTGATGAAAGAAATGAAAGTGTAATTTCTGTTAATACTTAGATAACTTGGCTGAATGTTTTGAATGGAATATAAGCCTTATGCGATGTCAGCATGATTTGTGAAATCGCATGACGACAATCTTCTCTTAAACTTGACTCGAAATTATTATCAAAATTACACATTTTAACACACGTTAAGAAAAATCAACCGATTCGAGCAAACAACAAAATACCAAAAATTGTTTATCACTGAACACTTCAGTAAGCAGTAGATAGAACTAAGGAACCCACAAAGCAATAAATGGAATAATGCAGCTGCTCCACACAGTAAAAAGCACCGAAACGAAATTAGTAGTTCACCAAAATTCAACAATGGAGTCTACAATTGGTCGTAGAATTTAAAACTAGTAGTAATGACTCCATCTTGTTTTCAGAGTATGTTACACCCACTGGTGAGTCATAGAATGAGCACAGTAGTCTCTTTCGTAGACACTTCAGCAATTTTTACACTAAATTTGTAGTTTAGGTATGTGCATGGTTTATTGAGCATTGACTTCTAGGATTAGAACGGGGTACACTATCAATCATCATATGGAAGAAGGGAGATTCATGGATACCATACGACTAGGTATATTAGATTTCGCTTTATACTTACTTTAATAGAAAATGTAAAAAAGGATGAAAGATCTCTTGAGACTTTCTTGAATTGACATGTCAAGAATGCAGTCCAGTTTCTTCTTCCTCTAATTAATATTTGTTTTGTACTTAGTTACGTTAATGTTTAAGTAGATTCAGCTTATGGGACGAAATAAGTAATCAAACTATATTGATGCGAAACTTTAATGCCACGAGGTAATTAATAAATAAGACCTTTTAATTATGCATCGCGGAAAAACTGTAATAAACAACAACCAAATGAAGAAGTACATACTAAATACTGCATGAACCTTTAGTTATCTCTAAAATTACAACAAACATATTTTTATTCAAATTTCATCACATTTATAACATGCCTTTATGCAGGCATGTTATAAATGTGATGAAATGTTTTTCAGCAGTGTAAATGGGCTTTAGATTTTTTCTCTTAATTTTATCTAACCTAACTAAACAATAGCCATATAAACGATAGTTTTGTATAGTCTTTGTAAGTAGCTATTGATTTTGTTATGTACTTAAACGAAGGTTTCAATGCATTCTTTTATTTTTTCTGAAACGCGTCAGTAGGTTATGAAATTCTTAAAATTACTTAGTACTACCACTTTAGGTCCACCGTACATCATCATTAGCCTCCGATTCTCCAGTAGTGGACATTACCATGGAACGGCATTAATGGTTTGTAAGAATATTTATAAATAGAGGTAGGAAGATAGGATGAAGAACGCGTTTCAGATTCAGCTTGGTCTAGTTGCATGTCTTTCCCACTATAGTATAAGGCGCAACATTTTTATAATTCTCAGTCATGCATGAGTTCTCGCGGTTTTTATCTAAACTTTTATTTCCAAAACAGCTTACCAGAGCTACGAAAACGATGAAGAAATGTACGAATACTCTTCGAGGCCGCCTTCAAAAGGGCAAGAGAGGGATTTTGAGAAACTTGTTCTGATAAATAGGACAAGACCTACTCCGTGCGACCGAGAAATGTATCTTTACCAGCTTGAGTACAGCAATTTGGATGACAAACTCAACCAGCCAGTGGCCAACTGTGAGAGGCCTTATTATGTGCAGTTAGTTAATTATACGAATATGCTGATGATAGTGGTGGACTCGGTCTGCCCGAAAAGGAGAGGGGCCGATCATGTCGATCGATCCGACGGAGGTGCAATACAATGAGTCGCTGCCGTGTTTGAAACACATGCACCCTCTGTATAGAAAGCAACCGACATCTTGCATCAGGAATCATACCGAAGTGAGTATGTTTACATCAATCTAAACTAACACAAATTAACATATGTATTTATGTACCTACTGTAGATCAATTAGACACTTTTGAATTAGAGATTTTGGGTTCAATTTCTATGTGGAAAACTAACAATAGGTATAACGTTGTGTATTCGTCCCTAGTTCGATTAAGACATTGTATACGGAAATGTTATTTCTTGATTGAAATCCGTCCGGTATTTTTTGTTTATTTCTGTCTATGAATTTCGAAAAATCAAAACGGTTGTGAAATAATGTTCGTTTATTTTCAGGAAAGTAATATTGATATGTGCGGGCGATGCAGTTTGCTTCAGCGCAATACGGTTTGGCTCTCGCTGATCTTCATGCTTCGTTATTTTTAAATCGTGAATACAGAGAAACATTTTAATTTACCATCATCAAAGAATTTAATATTTTACAGATTTATTAAACTATGAAATGTTGTTTAATTTTTATTGTTGCATAGCTAGTACAGTTTATTAAGCTGTTACATGACATGAAACATCTAGTCTTTATTACTTAGAAATGATAAATATTTTTTAGAATAAACTAGAAATTATACATGTCATTCCTACATATCGTAAAAATAATAAATTACCTTATTAAAACAATGTTATTTTGTTGATAAAATAATTTATTATAGGATGCTCCAAAGGTGCCACAAGTAGAAGGCATTTCATTTTCATATCAGATGTCACATTATTCTAAATTTTAAAGAATTTTATTTGAGCTAAATGTGAGAATGAAGATTTAAAAAAAATATTAAAAAAGTTAAGCATTTTTATAAGAATTGGCTTTTGCATTGTAATTTGAACAATAAAATTATCTCAACTTTGTTAACTTAAATATTTAATTAAAAGGTGTAAAATTGATTTTATTACATTTAATCCGTCCTAGAGTTCTTCAATGTTTAATTTGGAATCAAACTATACAAGCTCAGGGCAAGCAGTAAGATAACTTTAAACAAAGTAATTTAAACAATAAATTGTATCATTTATTTACAGAGTTCTTTATTTATGAATGTGTGTTGAATGGAAATTATCTACTTGTAAATTATATTAGAATTTAGTATTTTGAATCTCTTGTCTTTATGTGGAAACTAGAAGTATCAGATTATATTTGTTTTAAATATTCAAATGTGATTCATTAATTTGGTACAAAATAAACTACATATTGTACATAACATGGTTTTATTAAATAAATATACTAATGAATAATATTTACAAATGAATTATAACAACTTACATTAATTAACCGCTGCCTTCATATTTTTTGGTGAATTCCTGGATCTCTTCAATGAGGGCCTGATACCGCTGCTGCTTGAGCAGACTTTCTTGGAGCTGTTCAAGCTGTTCTCCGCCCTCCATAAAAGTCTTAAGGCTGTGTAGGGTGCTGCCTCCATCTCGGTGTTCTGTTACCCTGTCCTGGGGGTAGTTGTATGTTCTAATTTTTTCATTTCTGTTGCCTGACCCAACCTGAAACAAAAGAAATGAAAATTCATAGTATTGCCTTAAGCACTAATGCACTATCACCAGTAGTGTAATTTTACAAAAATGTGTTAGAGAAATTGTCCTGTATTAATAATGATTATTGTAAGTGAATATTAATGAGTGAATAAAGAATTTTAAAAATCTATCTAAAAAGATAACATACCTGTGACTTCCTCTGTTGCTGAGTTTTTGATGTTTGCTCCTCCACCTGTTTCTGAAGAAGGACAGTTCTTAGTTTCTGCATTGCTATTTCTTTGTTTTTGATTTGTGACCGGCCTTCTTGGCATTCCACCACTGTGCCTGTCGGGACATGTATGAGTCGAACTGCACTGTCTGTAGTGTTCACATGCTGACCACCTGCACCACTTGCTCGTTTCGTTTCTATCGTTATATCTCTCTCCGGAATGTTCAACTCAATTTCAGTAGGCTGAGGAAGAACTGCAACAGATACTGTGCTCGTGTGAATTCGTCCACCCTTTTCAGTAGCTGGGATTCTTTGAACGCGATGCACTCCTGCCTCCATCGACATTAACTCTGGCACCCCATAACCACTTATCAACATCGACGCTTTTCTAATCCCTCCTATATCTGATTTTTCAAAAGACGCGATATCCACTTCCCAATCTTTGTAGTTGGCATAAGATTCATACAGCTCAAAGAGTTCTCGAGCAAATAACATCGCTTCTTGACCGCCGGCACCGGCAGTGACCTCTAATAGGATACCTCCTTCTGAAAGATTAGGCTCTAGCAAAACCGACTGTAATTCGCTGTCTATTTCCTTTATGCGTTTGAGATATATCTGCGCCTCCTCCTTAATCATTTTCCTTACTTCCTCGTCCTCATTTTCCTTTTTATTAAGCTCCTTTAGAGATTCTATGCTGTCATACAAAGTGATTCTTTGATCAAGAACATTGACGATTGGTTTAATCTCATAGAGCCTCTGATTTTCCTCTGCTGACCGTCGAGATTTGGTGTGAAGTTCATCGTGTTCAAGCATTAAATGTTTCAAGTACTTCTGGACAGCAGGATCTGATAAATTCACGGCATTTTGAGAATAACATTTACGAAGTAAAGAAAACTTTTCAACATTACACAATGGTCTATTGAATAAGTATCTCAAAAGCGACATGATGGTTTTTCAATTTTAAGTTCACTGTACTATTATTAACTGTTTAAAACGAAATAATTCCAATTAAATTGATTTCAAAATAACCTGAATCCTTTCGTTTGAGGTTGAGGTTCACAGATATGGATATCTGTGTTGAGGTTACTTTCTGGTAAACGTCAATAAACTGTCATTACTGTCATCTGTCAACACAGTTTTTTATTCTACTAAAAACCGTTTCGCTTATTCATTGCTACTAGACAGAACTTAAAATTATATTTAAATAAAAAAATTAAAGGCATGATAAGAGAAAATAAATGTATTATTGAATTAGATGACAGTATGCTTAAATGTTTTATTTTAAGTTAAAATTGTTAAATATTGTCTGTAACTTTTATTCCAAGTAGCACAAAATAAAGACAATCTTAAAAAGCGCCATCTACATTTTCGATCCAAGTTTAACTAGAGACAAGAAGTTCATAAATAAAACATAGATGTCATTGTAAACCCTTTTGTTTGGTCCAAGTTGTTTGTTACCCTAGCAATCCAGCATGAGATGAGACGATGATGAAATAAAATAAAAACAAAAAACAGTCACCAAAATTAACGAAAATATTAAAACAAATGAATAAAAAAAATATAGGCCCGTCAGCATTTTTTTTCAAAAGTTGATAAAAAGTCATACTTACTTAGGTACTTATTTATTACCTCACCTAACCAGCCTGTATTTACTTAGGATAAAAAAGGGTTAATGAACAACTTAAATTAGACATAGGGAAGAAAAAGAAACGAAAAAGGGGAACAAGCTCTGAATGAAGCAGAGATCTAAAACAGAATAATTATTATTTAGAGTATTATATCGGAACTTGGAACTAATTTTTCTGGTGTTACGAAGTCACGGTAATTTGGGTAGCCCAAGTGATGCTCTACCTCTGGGGTGCGATGGTGAGGGACATCCTCGTGGTGCACCCTGGGCAACGTCCGCGTGGTCTGTTCACGCGGGCGGATAACTTCTCACCTGCGCGGCAGGTCTTGTCAACTCGGCAGGCCTGTCGGGCAACCCGTAACCCACAATTGAGTGGGCCAGGGGCCGTCGAGGCATTTGCCTGGGCCACGATGCAGGGGACATCTTTAAAAACCCCCACAGGTGGGGGTTGGCGGGGCGTTTGCCCGGGCCCCATTCTTTGGAGGGCCGCTCTCGGTACTTCTCTGATCAGCAGAGCTGACTGAGCAGCGGCATGGAGCAGACCGTAACCCGCTACGGCGGGCCGGGGGGGTCCTGTTGTACCAGGGCCGCGAGGAAAAAACCTCTTTAAAAAACTTTCATAGCGCTCGTGAGCGCTATGAAACCGCTGGAAAGGGGTTTCTTTGTTCAACAATCACGTCGAAACTAATAGACGCAGACTAATAAATTTACATTCGTTTTGTAGAATAGCTCAAATACTAAATACAATGCAAAAAAAACATACTTTAATGACCTGGTTTTTCTTGTGTTGGAAAATGACTGAAAAAGAAGTGAAAAAAGTCATGTATTTTTCTAATTAAATCCATTCTTACTCCCTTAAAATGTATAGAAACTTGTACCTGTTTTCTACTTCTACTAATAGATAATTTTATTGGCTATCGCATGATATAAAATATTAGCTTATTAATGTTAAGCTAATCACGCTTTTACTTGTTTTTGAAGGAAGAGGTGAAAACTAAAAATTAAAAACTTAAATCCATGTAATTTTTCGAGAAATGGGTCAGGCCCCAAATTTGAAGTATTTTCATCGATAAAATTGTCCATAGATTACACCCGTAAAGTTTGATCACTTCATGCCCGGACACACTGTATAGATTTACCTATGGAAAGCATTGGTTTTAGGCTTGACTTGTAAGGGTATTATCAAGAGATGAGTGCCATGTGGCTCATCGGTGGTGCTAAATTTTTATGGAAGCTGGAATCATTGAATTTTCGGATAGATCCAGTTTATTCTGTACCTATTATTGATACCGTTTCATAGAGCACGTGAAGCACTTTCAGGACCAGTAACCACTTTTTCGATATCTTGTGTAGTCTACCTAAAGAGTAGCGGAGAGTTGTAGCCGGCTCTACAACCGATACCGACCGAAGTGAACAACGCCTCAACGTGACCACGACCGCTCTACCAAGAGCGAAACGAATAAGAAGAAGAAGAGGTTAGTCTAGAAACAATCGAGTGAGATCACTAATCATTTCCACCCTATATAACATCACCCTACAGCCAATAGGGGCGTAAAAGGTACGTAGGTACATAAAACGTATGTAGGTCTAGGTACTTACTTAGGGTCTTCAATTTGTGAACTAAGAATGAAAGAGCACTAGACTTGAAAATAATAATGACACCTAAATACCCATCTACTTAAAGTTGCCACTTCCTAAAATTCAAGACAACAGGCTTTCGCTAATTACAGGCGCAGCTTCAAACAAAAGCTGCGAATCAATTTGCAGCGCTTAGCGGAATGGCATACCAAACATTTCCTTTAGACGACGTTTACCACATCGACCGCAACGACGCGCCTATTGATAGAATTGTTAGTTCCACAATGAGAGCTTCCTCCTGTAACCACAGGACCGTCACTCGGCTGTTCCACATTCTTGCAGGTATGGAGTTATTAGTGCTAATGACGTCGGACAGACGGACAGGCTATTGTGTCGCCACCGACCGCACCGCTTCCTTTCCTTCTGTGGCGTGTCTACGTCATAGGCGGTAGCGGTTCATATGTAAACGCATGTAAGAACTCCGCAAGTTTCTTTATTGACTTGCAAAACTAAAACTTGAAGAGAGACGTAGAAGCAAATATATGAGCCTACCTAGTGGACTTGATTGGAAAATATTTAAAGCACCAAGTATTTTAAATAAAATATTTTCAGTTTTCACAATTTTATTCGCTTTTAAAATAAGTAGGTACCTAGGTAGGTACTAAGTAGGTAATTTAAAATTTGATGCTAGGGTTTACCTAAGGGAAACCAAAAATTACTTTGCGATCTAGGCATCTATGTCTACTTGTCCCCCTAGTTTATCTGCTTAGGTACCTACTATGACTTCTACACTCGCTAACCGCTTGTATTTTATACACCCCATTCTAGCATTTCGCAGTATATAAAATTAGGATGCATTTCTA